GAGAGATGCTGGACAAAGGGTCAAGCTTTTACTGATACGATGAGTAAGTTCTAGGAGTCTAATATTCAACATGATGACTAATAGCTCACCACATGACTGTACTGCACACTTAAAAGATGCTGAGACGGGCACCTGGGTGGCTCAGTCGACTCAGTGTCTGCCTTCAGTTCAGGTCATGATCTCAGGGTCCTGGGATCGAGCCCCGTGTCAGGCTCCCTGCTCAGTGGGGAGTCTGTTTCTCCCTCTCCTTCTGCCGTACCCCTGCTCTTGCTCTCTCCCTCTCTCTCAAATAAATAAAATCTCAAAAAAAGTTGCTAAGAATATAGATGGTAGATGTTCTCACCCCAAAAGGAAATGGTAATTATGTAATGAGATGGAGGTGTTAGCTAAGGCTATGGCAGTAGTCATTTTGCAATATCTCAGGGTAGCAAACTAACCAATTGCACACCTTAAATTACACCCGTTCTTTTTTTTTTTAAGATTTTATTTATTTGTTCATGAGACACACACACACACACACACACAGAGAGAGAGAGAGAGAGAGAGAGAGAGAGGCAGAGGGATAAGCAGGCTCCATGCAGTGAGCCCAATGCGGCACTCGATCCTGGGTCTCCAGGATCATGCTCTGGGCCGAACGCAGGCGCTAAACCGCTGAGCCACCCAGGGATCCCCCAAACTTACACCTGTTCTATGTCACTTATACCTCAATAAAACTAGAAAAGATACTAGGAAAAATACAAATGGATTATAGATGTAGAGAATGGAATACAAAAGATCAATAAATCTATGATATGACACCCAAAATTAGACACCCAGCTCAGCTCTCTTGAACTCCAGACTGGAATATTCACATTGATTAGTAACTGTACTTGGATATCCCACTGAACCTTATATTTATTCATTTATTAAATCACCAAATATTTTTAAATAATATTCCCCAGCCTTCTCCAAACAATCACGAGGTAGGTCTTACAGCTCCGCAATTTGTTCAGCTCCACCTCCTCCAATGCCTTTTGACTATATCAGGTCATGCCAAATGTCCTTTCCTTTTATCTGGATTTTTGTGATGGCCCCAACTGTGTCTTTTGGGGTCCAGTTTTGCATTTCTTTTCATCCATCCTCTCTATAGAAGCCCAGGTGATGTTTCTAAAGTGCAAGTGCGATCCTGTTACTCTTTTGATTGAACCTCTTTAAAGACTCCCCATTACTCTTAGAAGGAAAAGCCAAGTCATTAATTTGACCTAAAAGGACTCATTTCTGCTACTTCTGAAGCTTCGGTCTTCCTGTTTTCCCACCTCAGGCTCCAGCCACCCTGCCTGAGCTCCGTGACCCCTTTTTCCAGAAATAATCTCTGTTGCTCCACCCCTCCTGCCACAGCCTGACACCTGGTTACCTTTGAATCCCAGCATAGGCTTTAAGTCCTTCCACATCCACCTCTAAGCCTGGGCACGCTGCCCCTCCTGAGTGCTCCTTTACAGCTGCTGCTTAGTTCCATCCTGGCACTGACCAAGAACCGTCCTCCACTGTTGACCGACATCCAGTGCCAGACCTTCAACTTGTGAGCCAGCTCGTGTCTCACCTATAGTCGTAATCCTAGTACGTAATCCAGAGCATGACACGTAATAGGTAGTCATTAAGTTACTGTTGCATACATTCAAAAAGGAGAGAAGGGAAAGAGTCCAAAATAGTAGTAAGTCTGGTAGTTGGACAACCCAGATTTCTTCTCATCAAATTTTATGTATCACCATTTCCAGAAAGAACTCCATTTTAATCTTATAAGATTAAGCTGCATAAGTTCAGAAATGGCAAAAGGATCTGTAAATACAACTTAGTGAAGATTTTGGGAGACTTTGGTTACTCATATTGAAAAAAAATATATATATATATAAACAGTTTATCACAGTCCCTGGCACAGAGTAGGTCCTCAATAGTGTTACTTGAATTTAATTGTTTCCTCATGCTGCCAGAACACTAATTTCTGCAAACCTTCCTATTTTCTCTACTTCCCCATTTCCTAAAAAGGAAAGTAATAAAAACCATTCTTCATGTACCCACACACAAAGAAGGAAAAGGCATGGCCAAAACCAGTTATGACTTCAGGTATTAAATCTTAAAAATAAGCAAAAGTAAATGATATGTTATTAAGTTAAATACAGGTTTTTTTGCAGAAGCTTGTTCTATAGGAGTTTGTGTGAATTTTGGTCATTCGGGTGAGATGGCCCCTCTCTGGAGCCAGATTGAACTATGCCTACTATGGGCAGGGACAATGTAAACCCATTGTGAGAACAATTAGGGATATGACCACTTCTAGAATGCCACCTAGAGGAATACTTGCCGGAGAGGGAAAGTACATGGAACCTTGATTTTGAGGGCCCCAGATATTTTCTTGCAGGGACACATCTGGGGAAGCCGACCTCAATTCAGGAAGGTTAGCTCTGATGCTTATGTGCCCATTATGTGAGGTGAGTGTGTGTGTGTGTGTGTGTGTGTGTATGTGTGTGTGTACACACGTGTGCCTGGCTTGTGGACATCTTACCACGCAAGACACAGTCAAGACAAATGAAAACAGTTGTCTGAGAATGAGAAGTAGGGATACAGAAACAAAGTTTTGTTCTTCTGTGTAACTATGTAAAGGCCATAATCACACACAATGCAATTAAAAATACAGAAAAGTAAAGAGAAAGGGGAAAGTATTTTCAAGTCAGATATCTCATGCAAGATGGGAAAATAGAAAAGCACCTGACAGTTCCAACGACAACAGAGACATCAGAATTTCACACACAAAGCGTTTGAGAATGACTCAGATATATTTGGAAGGTAACAGATTACACTGCAGCGGCCTGTAAGTATGTAAGTACAGAAATACCGAAAAGGGAGTCAGTGTGAAGCCATATATGTGTGGTCTTTGGTCATCTATTTTATGCTTACTTCAAATATTTGGGAATGCAAACATCGATGAGGGTTTTCCCCGAATATCATGTCACAAAGTCTAACTTGGGAACGGATCCATCTGAGACAGCTGTATGGTGCCTGGATGTGAGCGAGAAGAAGGAAGATAAAGGAAAGATTTCAAAATCAATGGCTTCCAGTTTGAAAGGACTGCCAGGGCTCTACAGGGTATGAATTTGCTGCATAAAATCTATTACTATTGACAAATAGAATTCAATCCGTTCCCTTCGCTCTTATGGTATACCACCTTGTCCTTTCATTTCGATTGGTGTATTTAGGTTTTCCTTGGCCATTTCCACAGGAAAACGACCTTCTTAAAGCAATCGGGTTGTCACCCAATGGATAAGTCACCCTCATGTTTTCGAACCAGAGCAGCACCTAAAGACATAGACGCGTTTACAAAATTGTATTTGTCAGGTCATTAGCACTGTAGTTGTTTTCTAAATTAATTCATAGGATCAAAGCAGTTTTCCCTTTAAATGAGCGCAATGTCTTCTTTGGAAGGGCGCGTCTGTACAGAGAGATTTAGCAGAAATGCTAATATGCCAGTGGAAGCAATTAAAAATATTACCAAATAAAGTTTTCTAAAAAATTGTTATGTTTAGGCTATTAAAGGCAAGAAATATATATAATTTTTTTGCATATCCGATTAGTTAACTTACCATATAGATTCATCATTTCAGGTATATATATTTTTTAAAAACATTGTGCCAAATACATTTTGATAAGGAAAGGTCCTATGCTTTCACGATTTTTTTCAGGAAGATACTCAAAGATGATACATTTACTTGCAAATTTTAGAAAAATATGCCTCCAAGAAATCAAGTTTTATAATATACATATTTTTTGGTGTATGGACATGCAACAGTACCTAACTTTTGTTAAATATGCATCAGAACGCAATTCAAATCAGTCCATTTGATAGACACGTCAGCAAATTCATAAATTTATAAGCAATTAACCCAAGGTACTCTCTTTGAATAGAAAGTGTTGCAGGAAAAAGACATGGAAGTAGAGTTTCTCTGTCGTTCTACTGGAGGAGAGGTTTGGCGGAATCAGAAATTACACCGGTGAGAGAGAATTTGAGATTTGATAGGAATGTCAGAAAAGTTTTCTCCATTTTACGGATTTCATGTGATTCCCTTATAGATAGATAGATAGATAGATAGATAGATAGATAGATGGAAAAGTAATTTATATATATAAATATATACACATTTCACTTCTTTATATATATAATAGCTATATATATGAAGAGACATATATGATATAAAAGTAATCTGTATATACAAATATATACACATTTAACTTCCCAGAGGGTCGGCAACGCAGCATCTGCGCAGCCAGGCACCGAAACACAACGGATGCAAAACCCGGTTTAACCCGTGGTTCTCAGTGTCACGCCACGAATACTAGGTGGGCTCGGGAACCCAAGCGCCTTAGGGTGGGGCTGGGCGGGGCCGCGTGGGGCTGCGTGGGGCCGCGCCCGTCACAGCCGCGCACCCAGAGCCGGGGCAGGCCCAGGCTCCCACCGCAGGGCTCCTTCAGACGCGGGGGCCCCGGAAGGTCACCAACCTCATACCCCTCGGTGGCCAGCTGTTTCTGGCCCCCGCGTGTCCGCCCCCCCCCGCCCACTCCACCCCCACCCCCCTCCACGTCCCCACCCTCCCCTCTCCACCCCCCTTCCCCCTTTCACCCCCCACCCCCCACCGTATCCACACCCCTCCTCTCCCCCGTACCCTCTCCACCCTCCCCTCTCCACCCCTACTCCCCTCCACCCTCTCCTCTTCACCCCATTCCCACCCCGACTCCCCCCTACCCCCTCCACTCCCCACCACCCCACTCCACCCCCACCCTCCCACTCTACCCCCCACCCTACCCTCTCCCCCTTCCACCCTCCACCTCACCCCCCTCCCCTGCACCCCCCCTTCACCCTCTACCCCACTCCCCTCCACCCTCTACCCCGCCCACCCCGCCCCGCCCCCCGCCAGGCGCAGAGGCAGGAGGGGAGGCCCCGAGCCCGAGGGGCACACGCCCGGACCCCCGCTTACGTGCACCTCGCAGCGCTCGCCCGCGAAGGCCGCGGGGCACACGCACTGGAACCCGCGGCCCAGGCCCTGGCACAGGCCGCCGTGCGCACACGGAGCCGACGCACACTCGTCCGCCGCCTCGTCGCACCTGGAGGAGAAGCACACACGGCGGCCTCGGCCTCTGCGCACCCGCCCGGCTGCGCGGTGCGGAGAGGACACGGCGCCGCGGTCGCCTGCGGCCCAGGGCGTGACCTGGGTCCCGGGGCCAGGCCCGCTCGGGCTCCCCGCAGGGAGCCGGCCTCTCCCTCGGCCTGGGGCTCGGCCTCCCTCCCTCCCTCCCTCCGTTTCTCATGAACAAATAAATAAAATCTTTAAGAAAAAAAAATTAAGCAAAAGAAAAGAACAGAGAAAGGGAGCCTTATCCACCGGGCCCAGGGCGGTCCGCTTTAGCGGCTCCCGTGCAACCTGCGCACACTCCCTGGGGTGGGACACGCCTCTTAGGATTCCTGCAGCAAATTTCGTTTTTCAGGGCAACACGCTGTACTCACCGTAGAAGGAGAAAACAGGTGCAAGTATTTAGAGACCAAGAAAAAGCCCTGAAGGGCAGTTAGCGGCCTGCCCACCCCCAGGGGCGCTGGAGGCCGCATTTTGCCACCTGGAGCCCCCCCCGCCCCCCAACAGGCCCTGCTCTCAGGATTCGGATGCATCCGGCCCTCAGGCTGTGGGGGAAAGGGAGCCCATCAAAAACAGGGGGGAGAAATTGGTTTATTCTTGGAAATTTTGGATTATTTTCCTTTGGAATTCTTTTTTTTTTTTTCTAAGAAAAAGCAAAAGTGGATAAGTAGAAAATGTCAGTTGCTAATAAATGTGTTTTACAACTAAGGGTAATTTTTCAATATTCAAGTAGAATGACTTGCAAAAGCCAAGGGGCAGCTGGGTGACTCAGTCGGTTAAGCGTCTGCCTAAGGGTCCTGGGATGAGTCCCCCATCGGGCTCCCTGCTCAGCGGGGAGTCTGCGTCTCTCTCTGCCTCTGCCCCTCCCCCTGCTTGTGCACACTCTCTCCTTCAAATAAATAAATTCTTAAAAAAAAAAAAAAGAATGACTTTCAAAAGCTGAATTTTTCCCAAACAAGTGATATCAATTCTAAGGTATATTAAAATTTTCTTCCTCCCTGGGACACTGTCATCTTTCACTTGGTCTTCGGCCAACAGCTTTTTTTCCTGTATATTTACCAATTAACTCACCAGGCTCTTTTATTCAATCGTTCGGTAGGTATGTATTTAGCACTCAACCGTAGGCTAAAAACCAAGCACTGTTAGGCCTCACGATAGAGCCGTAACTGTGGCATCCCTTTTACTCTGGGAAATCCATATAAAATGTTAGCTTCAAGAATCCCTAAAGAGCAGCTTATGATGTCAAAGCATAATGTAAAGTTTTTCATTTCTCACCTTCCAAAAGGTAAAACTTGCATGCACAGGGCGTCAACTAATCACTAGGCTCAAAGTGAAGAGGGATGAGGGGGTGGGTGTGTGGGGGTCAACCCAAGGTATAAAGGAGAAAAAGATTTCTTCCCAGAAAAACAGCTCCCTTATCCTGCTGGATACCAAGCATAGCTGAGACATTTTGTTTTCCTTTTTTGGCTCAGGCTTCTGGACTGGAAGGAGGCTTCTCCGATTAGATCTGAGCAAAACCTGACAACTTGCGAGAGCCTGCCAAGCGCTTTTTGTCCTGGGTGGGCCAGTGTTCACACCATCCATCATCTGCAACCTGCCAGGATGACACTGTAAAGTTGGGGGTTTAGCCAGACAGAAGAGGAGGCAATTTGCTGGAAGACAGCTTTTCGATATTTTGGATGTTACAGAAGTCACATTCCCCTAAGCCTTGGGAGATGGTCTAGTATTTTCCAGTCTCCCTCTGGCTATTCTTTCTCCATTTCTTATCTCTTCCTCTCTTGAATTAAACAGTGTACCACACACAAACATTCATTATAAACATTATCAGAGCTTTCATTGGAGATCAAAATTAATACATCAAAAATCAGAATAAATAAGTCCATTAAGGACTTTGAAAGCACAGAATCTATTGACCATGTGTTCACTCTTTTAGAAATCCATTTGCAGCAGAGAAGTTGGTCTAGATGAAAAGAGTCCCCGGGAGAGGAAGGAAAACTTGGAGTTCCTTTTCTTAGCACATTTCAAAGAAATAATTTGCATTCAAGTGCAAGATTATTCTTTTAAACAAATGTTGGAGGAAAGGAAATGTTTGTTTGAAATGGGGATAATGTGTGGATAGCAGAGAAAAATAATAATCCAAGGCTTTGGATGAGTCTATGCGGTGTGCCATTAAGCATTAATGTGACAGTAAGCATTCAGCTGTGACATAGGCAGGAAATAATCAGCACTTAAAAACACTGGAAGAGCTGGTCAAGGGAATATTTAGGACAAGGAAATATTTGCGCTATTTCGGAGGCATATAGAGTTTGAGGCCAGCTGCATGGTCTCTGGGTTAACAATATGTTGCATGGGAAAATATGATTCAGGGCAATGAGCTTCCCGGCACGTACACGCTCGGTCTGGGTCTGCATGTGCCTCTTGGAGCCAAAGCACTGAAAGGCTGTGAAGGCAAGAGCTGGGTTTGTCACTGAACCTTGAAAGGGTAAAAGGCAGGTCTACCCGAGATGGCCTACGTTGTGAAAATGGCAAAAGAGCTGGATCTGCGGAAGGCCAGAGGAGCCAGCTGGAAAAGGGAAAATTCAAATGAATCCAAACTGCAGTTGTCAGGGGTTTGTCAGCACAAATACGCCCATTATTTAATTAACTACCTTTCTGGGAAAATTTAATTCAGTCAAACTCTCTCTGTTGGATGCTCTGTATTTTCATTGATCTCATTCGTTCAATGCAGGGAGTTTGCTCCGAGATCCTTATCTTGTGGCGGATGGCCTAGGAGAGGAAGGAGCACGGTTCCCACTTTCTTCTAACTGCTGCAAGCAAAGGCTTATTCATTTCTGTCAGCAAATCCAAGAGAGGAGCACAGGCTGTGAAGGCAGCTGGGCCTCCCTGCAGCTCACATCTGGATTGGCACCTGACCTGTAACTTGACCCCTCAGCGTCAGTTTATGCAAATGCAAAGTGGCATTAATAACGATTAGAGAGGATATTTATAAGATGCGTGACCGTGCTCAACAAATGGTTAATTGTTTATTATCTGTTTATATAGAGATATATAAGAGCTTAGATAGAGCCTTGGTTTATAATCATTAGGGGGGACATTGATCCTTTTGAGAAGCTGATAAAAGCTGTGGAGTATATCCTTTTTTTTTCTTTTTTTAAATCTTTGACCTCACCTTCAGCCAGTCAAGTTCATATCCGAATTTGCCTGCATTTTCAGCCATTGTCTGAAGCCATCGGCCAACTCCGCATCAACAATCCCTGTATTAGCTGAAGAGTTGTTGAAGGGTGTCGCTGGGAAAGAGAGACTCACATGGATAAGGCATATCTACTTTCAGGGCTCTAGATAATTCTGTGAGGCAATCTTTTAGGTATAGTTTATTTTGCTTCCACAGCAACTCTGTTTGCATCATGTATTAGAAACATGAATCCAGAAATACTTATCAGAAAGAAAAATAACACATTTTACGTTGTTTCAAAGACATCTTTTCCTATTTGAAGTCTTGGCTAATAAAGTGTTCTTTGTTTTGACCTAAACTGTGATTTTTGTTTTCCCTTCTCTTTTCTTGTTTGACTCTGGTGGGACCTGTATGTCAGCATGGATTTTCCTATGGGAACAGAGATGAAAAATCGGAGGGGAAATCAACTTTGAGTAATCCCACTGTTGTTCAGCCCAGACTTTTCTTCTCTCGAAAGTGCTAATGTTGACTCACCGCTCCCCAGTAAAACCTGGCCGGCACAGACACTTTAATTCACCCTGGAACTCTGAGCAGTTGCCTCCGTTGTAGCAAGTGAGATTCGTCTTCTCGTTCCCACAGACTGTCGAGGATAACCTGGAGTGTCTGGAGAGAGAAAGGCAACAGCCACAGCTGTTCATCTTGATCATTTCATTCAAGAAAACTTTTTGGAAAAGTCCGTCTATGCAGTCAATGCCAAACTAATCAAGTACTCAGGCTAGGTTATGCACGACCCCTTTGGCTCAGTAGACAGCTCCTGCTGGGGGGCGCGGTAACAAGCTCGGCTATATATCTTCCATTTCCACAGTTTCCATTGGTGAGATAAGATCTGTGCCATGAGGTGGCAATAAATTTAGGGTTGGGAAGAAACTTGCGATAGCTGGGTTTGCTGCTGCCTTGCTAATAAATCAACACGGGCCACGGAAAATTGCAGCTCTATAAAGGCCAGGAAAGCAAGGACCCCACTCTGGTACCCAAGCACTCCTGTGATTTCTCTGTAGGCTTTCAGAGCTGAACTCCTGTTGCCCTGCCAACACTTGCTGTTCCCTTCCTAATGATTCATAGGTTAGCGGAACGCAAGCCAAGTGCTGTCCAGGAGGAGTGTATACAGCACTCAGTGGCAACTGTGTGTGAATCCAAGAGTGTGGCTCTTTGGTAGAACAACAAAGCTGGGCGTATCATTAAGGAATCCTTATAAAAGGCAGAACAAATTGTTAGAAGCTAAGCAGAACTTGACTGCAAAGGCAAGTGCCAGGGGTGCGAAGGGACTGATTACGAGAGATTTTAAGGGTGTTGTTCAGGTCCTTTGACCCACTGGGCATGGTGTCTGATGCATAATTAATGTCCAGGAAATATAAGAGGAATTTAATTTTGTCCAGTTGGTTGTGCTGCAGCTAAGGTGGAGAAACTAGCCTAGAGGACGGTTAAGTGTGTCTCTTCCCATAAGAGCTAATCAATTCGACTTTAAAAGGAAACTATCCTAAGGACTTTTCAAAAGAACCAAAAATGTCAACCAGCTTTGAGAGAGGTCAACTAGCAATGCAAATGTAAGCTTTGTATACGTCTTAGGTTTAATAAACAATTTTTGAATCTCATTAGGAGGGTACTTTTGAGAACTTTAATCTTTGAGCACTTGACTTTGATGAATTAGGCAGGAAAAAAAAATACTGGAGAAATAGTTCCTGGGGCATGTATGTTTACTTTACTTGCCCAAAGTCACCGTGGCAATACTATTAATTTTGATCCTGGATGTCTTTTGCTTTTAAACAGGCAGTTTGTTGGCAAAATGAGTCTGTTTTAACTCACGGAAAGCGACGTACAACTGAAATGTCAACACGTAGCACCTCATAGTGGGCCTTGGCTTCACAGGTTCTGAACAACAATAAATGTTATCGAGATAAATACATTTTCTTATACGTATGACTACATGTTATGTCTGCTGGGAGATTCATCCCATTAGAGCTCCACCTCTGAGTTAGTGCTATGTCTACAGGCTGCCAACCCACTCCAGGTGTTCTTGCCAAAGTCTGGGAATGTATTACTTGTTATTAATAATCCTCTCACCTCCCCATAATGACTCAATTGTTTAGTGAAGTTAAAAGTAGTATAAGTTATAAAATAATGAATTCTACTTATGTGGAAACATCGAAGCCGTGTGACTTAGTAGGAAAATATTGATTCTTATTTCTGCTTATGTAACACGAGATGGAGGTCATTACTAGAATTAAAACACTGCTCCAGTCGTGTTAGAAAAAATTGGGAAATATGTCGAAATGGGCAAAAGATATTACTGAGTATTCTTTCAACAGACTATTGGGTGTTATATAAAAGACACTCTAGGACTGTTTGATTTTATAGTGTGTATGCCTTAGATTTTCTTCACTATTTTACAACTCTGTAAGTGGTAGAAAATGACATTAATACGAATGGATCCTGCTCATTGAAATGTAAGCGAATTTGTCTGTGGGGATAGAATTGATTGTCACAAGGTAGAAAAGACAGTTTCCAATATTAATTGCATTGCTCTGTAAAAGATTAAAGAGTTTTGCATGTATTAGTGACTTCATTTCCTTATCTCTATTTATATACATTTATGTGGATAATAAAAAATATATCTAATTATTATATATATGCATATATATAAGTAATTAGGTTATCCTTTGACCGGGTTTTTATACCTTATTCATTTCTTCATTAATTGATGACTAATGAAAACAACAAAACATGTTCGTTTACATGAGAGTCATAATTTCATCTTCACAAGATTGTAATTTAGCACAGACTTTTCCAGATTTTATAAGGTTTACCTGCCTGAAATAGCCAAGGGCATTGTTTTAGGGGTAGAAGTCATGCTTCCTTGAACAATATGAAAACCAAGCTTTTGGGGGTGCCTGGGTGCCTTAGTTGGTTAAGCATTTGACTCTTGATTTCGGCTCAAATCATGATCTTAGGGCCGTGAGATCGAGCCCTGCTTCAGGCTTTGCACTCAGTGGGGAGTCTGCTTGGGATTCTCTCTCTCCCTCTCCCTTGGCTCCTCTCCCCACTCACTCTCTCTTTCTCTAAAAATAAATAAATAAATAAAAATGAAAAAAAAAGGAAAGAAAAGAAAACCAAGCTTTTGTATTTATTGTTAAAAATATTTGTTTCTTGAGGCCTTAAAGCTGTGAAGCTCTGGGGCATGCGACATATTCTAACAAAGATATCTGGGAAAGCATTCTGCTTGAAGTCCGGCCAAAGCACTCCCATTCTTCCTTGTAGAACATCCCACCATGTCTGGTGTACAGGACCACACTGTGGTGGAAGGGACCCATGTCACTCCCGTCCAGCACAGCCTACAGAGGCAGAGCTGAGAGAGCTTTCCTATTTGATGAGAAAATGTGGAGCCCAGCTCCACTGGCCAAGCCTTGGATGAACTTCATGCTCACCTGCAAAATTTTCCTGTGAAATTTCCCGAACAGTGGCAAGAATAGCCGCTGGGGTCGCTGATGCAGGTGGCTCCGTTTGCACACTGGTGATTCTGGCAATTGTCTATATCCGTTTCACAGTTCACACCGGTGTATCCAGGCTCACACCTGCAGTGATAGGCTGCAACTCTGTCGGAGCAGTTGCCATGGATACAGGGGTTTGAAAAGCATTCATCGATGTTGAGTTCACAGTGTGTCCCTGACCATCCCAAGGGACACGAGCAGTGATAAGAGCTGTAGATGTCTTCACAATTTCCTCCATGCAAACAGGGGCTGGAGTTGCAGGCATTCAACTGCAAACAGCCGCTAACCACTGAATTCATAGAGATTTTGAGAAACTGTTCTTCCTGGGGTTTATTAGTGAAACCATGAACATTAAAGTAAGAAAGATAAATGCCACTGATTTCTATTGTACTTAGACACCCTGTCAGGCCCTGGGTATTGTCAATAGCTCGGTCACCCACATAAATGTCTGTATTATCCTTAAGAAAGTTGAGGCTCCCAGTGGCAACTGCACTGGTCACAGAAGGTGCTTGGTTGTCCACTTCCATTTGCCACCTGGAGGCCTGGGCCAGTGGGTCTGTCATGGAAAGAGTCACTTGGTGCCAAATGCCATCATTCACTGACTGCAAACTTGTCAGACTCAGCATATAAAAACTGTTGCCACTTTGCAGTTGAAATAATAATCTGGAATCTCGAATGCTAATATTAAGAAATTCAGGCTCCTTCTTCGCGTGCAGTATGATCACATTTGCATCTCTTGTTCTGAAACCAAATGTGATATTGGTGAGTTCTCTGGTAATATTCCCATTGCTTCTGAATAATATTTCACTGCTTTGTGCATTAAAAACAGCATTTGCAATACCTAAAGAGAGAAGACAACACCAATCAGCAACTTTATGCGATCTATAATGTTGCTTCATTACCTTTATGACTGTTAATGATCATCATGTATCGATTGTTTGATATGTGTTAGGCACTGTGCTAGTTCTTCTTATATTATTTCTAATATAGAATTCTGGAGCATGATTTTATTATTATTACTATGATCATCCCCATTTTTATAAAAGGAGAAATTGAGACTCACGGAAGTTTAGTGATTTTTTTCACAGTCATATGGTTAATAATTAATAAGATCAGAATATCAAACCTGCATGGTCTGATACCAAAACCTAAACCACACATTTCTTTTCCACTGAAAAGAGGTTACATGTAGAAACAATGTCTTAAAAAGGTGAAAATAAAGGGGACCCGATACATGACTAAAAGTGATCATCAGTACAGGTGTTGAAAAAAGCCTACGATTGTCCACTTGAGTAGAGAAAATCCAGTTCTCCACCTCCTAGCTGGGTGTCCTTTCTTCCCACAGAACTTCCACATTCACAGCACGTGTGACATCAGACGTGTGGGGCTTTCCCCCGCCAAGCAACTCTGCACAACATCATTTCCCCTCCCTTTTGGTTGTTTCCCATCTGCATACAAATATACTGTAACTGCTTCAATCTGAGAAAATAAAAACACCCAAAAGCACAACTCAGCCCCCCTCACCCCACTGCTTCCTTACTTCTCTATTCCCTTTCATGCCACAACTTCTCCAAATAGTTTTATCTTCTCATCGTCTCCACTTTCTCATCTCTTATTTTCCTTGTAATACACGCCACTCAGCCTTTTGTGCCAATCCCTTCACCAAGGTCACAATGACCTCAATGTAGTTGAGGTTACTCAATGTAGTGGTCAATCCTCTATTCTCACTTTCTTGCACTTTTCAGTAAAAATGGACTTTAAAATGCTGTCTTTGCCTCAATCGTTGGGCACCACACCCAATCAACTCTTATCATATAGATTATTTTAGTTCTTAGTGTCTGCTTCTGTCACTCGGCAGATCAATATAACAACCACTCCTTAGCTCAAGACCACCATTGGTTACCATCACATCTAGAAAGAAATCCTAAATCCTTGGAGCTCCTGGGTGCCTGAGCAGTTGAGCATCTGCCTTTGGCTCAGGGCATGATCCCAGGGCCCTGGAATCGAGTCCCACATCGTGCTCCTCTCAGGGAGCCTGGTCCCCCCTCTGCCTGTGTCTCTGCCTCTCTCTGTGTGTCTCTCATGAATAAATAAATAAAATATTTTAAAAAGAGAGAGAGAAATCCTAAATCCTAAACATGGCTTGTAAAAGTCTCTGTGATCTGACCCTTGGTTAACTCTTCAGTTCTACTTACTATCACCCTCTTCCTTATTCACATGCTACAGCTGCAAAAACTCCTTGCCATTCCTTTTTTTTTTTTTTAACTTCTTGCCATTCTTTGAAGACATAAAACTTGTTCCCAAATCAGGCCTTTTACTTGCTGCTACTTATACTTGGAATATTCTTTCCCCAGATCTTCTCACACATGGCTCTTTCTCAGTCTAATGTGCTCAAATGTCACCTCCTCCGAGAGGTTTCCCTGACTATCCCAGTTAAAATAGTTTCTTCCCTGTAGCCACTCTCTCTTCCATTACCCCGCTTTATTTTCTTCATAGCATGTATAACTATTTGAAATTATGTTGTTCATTTGCCTACTTGTTCTTCGACTGTCTTTCTGCACTAGAACGTGAGATTTATGAGATCAGGGACTTTCTCTGTTTAGATTATTACCACCTCTCAAATGCCTAGAACATTGCCAGACATATAGTAGGTAAATATCACTAAATAAATAATCTGTAAAAATGACTCTGTCGTTTTTAATTCTGGAAAGTGAAATAATGATTAGAAGCTACTGTAGGAGAAAAATTCAAATGTATTATTCAAGTGTACAATCCGAATGTGTTATTTGGATTAAAATTTCACTTGATTTTTATTGCTTTTGACCATTGTGTTTTTTCCACCGAGTTTGGGGTTGGGATTAGGGAGGAAAGGAGCAACAAGGGTCTATTCCATGCTTTTAAATAAATGTTAAAAAAAAAAAACAAATCTCATTCACTCTCCCAACTCCAAAAGGACAAATATGGTCTATAATGCTAAATAAGTTCATTTTACTAACACTGCTGAGCACACTGAAATCACTTCTCATCCGGCGAAAAATCACAATACACATAACAATATTTGTATTTCATCTTTTCTTCGGGGAACTTTATCTTACAAACACACCTGTATATAAGGTGAATTGTCAATTTTTAAGTCTTGGTTTTCTGATAGAACGCCCTAAAGGCAAACTCAGGGTGATGCATGAGCTATATCCTCAAGACTATGTTATTCTATTAGATGTAATCTTCTCAACATATCTTACTTGAAAGAAAATACCATAGGGTCATAAGATCACATGAAATTAAAATTATGCAAAATAGCAAAAATGTGTTCTAGGGTTCATGCCTGTCAATTAGTAAAATTCACCCCTCCTATTGATTTACTTTTTTTTTTCCTTCATTAAGGTAAGTTATACTTTTAAAAAATGTTATTGAGACATTTTGGGAGATCCATGGCAAACTTCTTACTCTTTCTGTAGTGAGAATGCAGGTGCAGTGAAGATTCACTTAACTTCTCTCTGATGCAGGATATACAAATCCTAAAGTGCTTTACATATATACTGAAGACCAATGTGTACCAGGGGTATGGTTCTTGGCCTGCAAATGTTTTTAGAAACCCTATTCTTTTTTTCCCCTGTGAAAATATTCCAAACGATTTAAATCCTTTTGTAGAACATAACAGGACTAAGAACTTTAGAACTTTAGGATTTTTATCAAAAGATGAACAATGAAACTAATAAATTATTTTGAACATGTAGTTTGGAGGTAGAACAATGGGAAGCTTGCATTTAAAAGTTGGTGCCATATTAGAAATCAAATTGAATTCTTTATGCCAACTCATTGTGCTTTATGTACTATATATATATATACTATCATCCTGTACTGTAATATAGTATATATGTCTAAAATATGAAAATAAAAGTGTATGTACTCTCAAAAAATTTTCCCAAGTACATATATAGTACAACACATTTCATACATCCTTTCAATATGTTTTGAAAACATAGAAACAGAAAAGTAAATATATATATTTTTCCCCAGTCACCACAGCTCAGTCTCAACAGAATGTTGTTGAAATAAACCTGAGTTCATCCTATACTCTGGTTCCACTCCATTATTTTAGTGCAATGTTTTCCAAGGTGATATAGATCACTTAACGTTTGGAAAAGTGAAGTGAAAATATTGAGTTAGTTTGAAGAAAAAATGATGTTACTTACTTTATTCACTTGACAAATATTTATTGACAACCTCCTATATGTTCGGCACTAAGTGCTGAGAGTAATGTGAGAAGCCAAATAGGAGATTTCCTTCCCTTTTGAAATCTAACTTTAGTGAGGCAAGGGATGATGAACAAGTAAACAAATACATATACAACGAAACAGAAAGGAATCCTAAGAGATACGAAGAAAAAAATAAAGCCAGGTAAGAGGACATTTGGGTTGGAACCCGAGTGAAGTGATGAAGGCAACATGCCCAAGCTTGGAGTTGAGCAAGTTCAAGACAGAGCTGGTGTGTGAGGGCCCTGATGGAATGGGATAGAAGAATGTGAGGAGCAAGATATCGGAGGCAAATTGAGGACAACTCTTTAGAGGATTTGTCACGGTCTTTCAGTGTGTGTGTGCTCTCAGAAACAAAAAATGGGATGGTAGCCGGTGGGGATGCCGGGGGGGTCAAAGGAAATTTTTTGTAATGAGGAAATTTGGCAGTGTGTTCATACACTGATGGAAAAGTTAATGGTGCTGAAGAGTGAGAGAAAAATTTTAGAAGCAAAATCTTCAAATAAAGGTGTGTGTGTGGGGGGGTAAGATTAGAATTCAGTGCGAACATGAAGATTTGTTATGATCAGACTGTGTTATTCGAAGTAGGAGAGGAGGAAACGTATGTAATAGTGTGGTTAGTGTGCAGACATGTCAACATTGTGAATATAGAATCCAAATTTGTTAAGATTTGGGAAACTGGGGCCTTTAGTCCTGAAGATGAGCAAGGATACTTTACAGATTGAGGAAAATATTCAGAAAACAACAATGCCTAATGTGTTTGACTTTGTATACTTAAGGTTATAAAATCGTCACATATACACAATTTTTTTTAATCTACCTGTCAAGTAGATGTTTTATACCATTTTAGGGAAACTTTTAGGTTACAGAAATTATGTGAACTGCCTGAGGCCTCACAGTTAACAAAAGGCCGTGAGCTCACACTAGGGCTTTACTCTGTACTCCCAAAGAGGAAGGGAAAGCCAAATATTACTTGGTTAATTTCTTCAGAAATTAGCTTTAAATCATCAAAGACCTAGGTTTTGCTCTGATTTCCATTCCCCATCCTCACCCCCAAGAAATCTAGGGGCAGGAGGAGGCATGAAGCCAATCTGGATATTATCATTATCATTATTATTATTATTAGATTAGATTTATTAAATTAGGTGAGTCCTTCCTTTGGGAAGCAAGTTTTGTCTCTATTTTTTTTTCTGAGTTGCCTTATGGAACTGAAAGATCCAACTTAATTGGATGGATGATGACTTTAAAATCCACCTACATTCAAATCCTCGCGGCACCCCCTGGCACTGGGCTCCGGGTGGACACGGGCTGAGCTCACACCACTGGACTTGCTCACAGGCTTTCCCAGCTGTGTTTGCAGGGCAGGAGCATGAGAAGTCATCCCACAGGGAATAGCACACACCTCCGTTGTGACAGGGGTTGGACTGAGTGGAAAAGAAATGAAAGTATAAACAGCAGTGGCAACTAAATATGGAAACAGTAGAGGCCAGACCCCAGCTCTGTAATTTTTAAATGCTAATTTTCTACACAGTTACACATTGAACTTCTCATATCCATTGGTTAGGAAATGGAATAAAACTGCTACCGTTGCCAATTCTTTTCTAAAAGAGAAATCGAGAGAGAAAGGAACAAAAAGAAAGAGATGAAATGAGAAAGAGAAAACATATAAAGCCAATTTTCTACAACAGAAGGAAGTTTTTAAAAGGTATGATAACATTCTCTGGAATTTCTAAGTTACCAGGCACTTTCAATCACAACAATTAGCATTTGAGGGAGATGTTTTACTCCTGTTTTTACTAATGAGGAAGCAGAGGGCCCTCCTGTTACCCAAGATCCTAATAAAAAGGCAAATAGTGAAGCTTGGTACCTCTGTCCTCTGGGTCCAGATACAGTGACCTCTTCAGTGGGCCTGCCTCTCACTCAGACACATATTGTTATTATTTGAGGTCTTAAAAGGTTTCTCACGAAATATCCAAAGTGAAAGTATTTAAAAGGGAATTTCTGAGAGCTGAGGCTGTATTTATCCCAGTCCCCCTGTTAAGAGGTGATTTAGACTAGTTACACAGCCTTCCTAAACTTCAGTTTCCTTATCTGTAAATGACATAAATGGGGTAATAACAATGCTCATTTTACACAGCAGTCCTGCAACAGAATTAAATGGACTCGTCTATGTAAAATAGTGCCCGGCACATGGGAAGTGCTCCTATAGTAATGTGAAAATGATTCATTTTTGCACGTTTAGAGGCAAGCCCAGTGCGTGGCAATATAGTCAGAGCTCAACAAATGTTCAACAGATATAAATGTGTTTCCTTTGAAAGGTCATGCAGAGCTGACAAATTCACAAATTTAAGTCGCTTTTGGAAGAGCATACGGAATACATAAAGTAAAGCATGGGCTTTGGGAAAGTATATTTCAGAGAATTTCAAATCCAACTACCAGAAGAAAGTTGCCCCTCAGGTTTTTTTTTTTAAGATTTTATTTACTTATTCATGAGAGACACAGAGAGAGAGAGACAGAGACAGAGACAGAGACAGAGACAGAGACACAGGCAGAGGGAGAGGCAGGTTCCATGCAGGGTGCCCGACATGGGACTTGATCCCAGGACTCCAGGATCATGCCCTTGGCTGAAGGCAGGCATCCCTGCCCCTCAGGTTTTTTTGTTGTCCTTGACTTAAGAGAAGTTTAAAACAACAGTAATTGGGCATTTAATGTAAATGATATGATGATCTTTTCCAAAATGAGTTAATTCGGTTAAACGTCTGGGATGCCATTAAGAGTTTGGGAATTAAAGTATTATTATTCTTAGGTAATTTGGTTGTCGTGGCCGTAGAAGCATGTTGCTAGAGTCATCTTGGATGGTTAAATAGACCATGGTGCCAGCAAGATCAAGGCAGTTATTTTATGGCTTCATATAAATAAATCCCCCAGTCTTGCTAGAAAAACATTGATGAAGCATTATGCTGTGGCTAGGGGGGAGTCAATAATATCATCTTCACATACAAAGAATGGTTATAATAAATTATTTAATAAAACAAGTTTAGTATACAACATAGACATAATTGGTATGAATAATCCTACCTTGCACATGTTGTCTCCAGAACAGCCTTGGGTCACATTGACAAGAATTGGATTGTGAGATGCATTGCTTATTGAATTTGGGAAGAATTCCAGATTTTGGTTGTTGAATCTTATATCTTGGATACAGCCTTTAAAGAAGCCACCTTTAGCTTCGGTCTGTGATCTCTCAGGCAGGCCACCGATGTAGATGACATCTCCTTTTTGGATTTTCCGTGTAGGGGCAGAAATAAATCCTAGGTTTTGTGAAGACTGATATAACTCAATTTTATTTGGCTGGATTTTCAAAGATATCAAGTGTACATTACCATCACTAAGAACGAATTTTGCTACTAACTTGGAAGAACCTGGATGAAGCATTGCTAATCGGCCATGCTCTAGCCAAACACGGATGTATTGGTAAGTCTTATTTTCCAAAGCTAGAAGTAAGCCTGACGGTCGATGTGTTCGAACAAACATAGAGATGGTGACGTTCTCTTCATAACTCTTGTCAAGATTAAAAGCAGCAAATCCAGTGGAGTCATCCTGGCCAAATCTGCCTGCCACATACTCTTCAGTGTCAAAATAGAGGAGGAGAAACAGAGGAGAAACGTCTTAAGACTCACAAGAAAGGGTGAGAAGGTGACAAACACATACACATTTTTTAAAGCTTAGAATGGGCTTATTCAATAGGATGACAATTTGGCCTCATTTCTCAAAACTTCTGAGTTTACTAGAATTTACTCAGTTTACTGATTTTTCTGAAAATGGCTACATTTTGATCTGTAGTTTATAGTTGAAGTCTATTGATCACAAATGAGAAAGAGAAGATCTCTGTGATGATAAACAAGATTTACCTCTCCTTCACTGCCCTAAAATGGTGGAGTTTAATAGTGGAATATCAGATACTCCTGTCCTCCAATTTGGTAGAAGAAATTTGGGGAACAGGATCCCTTCCTGTAACATCTCAAAGCAGATTGTTCAGGCATCTGTCATCTTTGCTATTTGAGGACTTGCTGAAGCAAGTGTCATTAAATCTAGTCATTCTTTCTATGGACAGAAATCAAGAATTAGATTCACAAATCCTCTTTGGGGCTGATATTCCAAATAATAATGAAAGGCAAGGGAGTTGAACAAAGAGGAATCTTCCTTCTGTGGTCCCGATTGGGAGAGGCATGGGAGACAGTAGGAGGAGGCAAAGCTGAGGACTGAACTCACCCAGCGTTTCTTGTGCTTAGAGAAATTAGTAATGCCCTAATATGGCAATACTATTGGTGTACATCGATTTAAGAAAACTCTTCTGATGTATAAAAATGAACCCTAACTTTCCAAAATGTTGATGGTATTGTAGGAACTAAAGTTCCCGTTTTTGTTTTTGTTCTGTTTTGTTTTTTGAGAAAGAGGGACAGAAAAAACATCCGTAGAATGGTGGGGGTGCTGGTGGGGCAGAGGGAGAGGGAGAGAGAGAGAATCTTACTTAAGCAGATTCCACCCCAGCTCAGAGTCCAATGCAGGGCTCGATTTCATAACCCTGAGATCATGACCTGAACTAAAATCAAGAGTCCGACATTAAACCGCCTGAGCATCTAGGTATCCCTAAAGTTCCTGTCCTAAAGCTCATGTTCTAATTGGTGGATGCAGACCAGACGCAGATAATGAAACAAACTATATGGTAGGTACATCAGGTGTTGATAAGTCTTTTGATATACAATAAGTCAGCTAGGGAAAGGGCGTAGGGAGCACTAGGGGTAGAAGTAGAATTGCAACTTTTTAATGAAGTACTCAGAGAGTACTCTGAGAAGATAACATTTGAAAAAAAACTCAAAGAATGTAGAGACATTGCAGAAACTCAAGAGAGAAGGAATGGTGGCTTGGATCAGTAGTATGTACCAGTGAAGATGATGAGAAGTAGTCAGATTTGGGAAATATTTTGAAGGTAGAACCAACCTGATTTTCTAGAGCAAGTTCAGCTCCAAAGCTTGTTTTTTGTTTGTTTGTTTGCCTAAGCAGCTAGAAGCATTGAATTTCCATCTGCAGAGACTGAAAAGAAAACAAGAGGAACAGATTTGGGGGAAAGTGGGATTCCATATTAAATTTGGAGGGAAAGTGGGAGTCCCCATTAAAATTGAGATGCCCTATTAGAAATCCAGGTGGAAATAGCTAGTAAACAGACAGATATAGAGGTTCGGGGGAGATATCCTGGGGTATCTGTAATAATTTTGTATTTGTCAGTGTAATTGATGCTATTTCAAACCACAAGGCTGGATGAGATCACCAAGAGAGTGAGCATATACAGAAGAAAGAACAGGTCCAAGAACTGAGCTCTCAGGCACCACACATTTGGATTTGGAGATAAAGGAGATGACAAAAGAGCAGCCAGGAAGATAGGAGGAGAATCAAGGGAGAGTGATGTCCCATAAGCTCAGTGAGGGAAGAGTTGTGAGGAAGAGGGAGCGGTTAACGGTGTTTACTGTTGCTGCAACAGGTCAAGAGAGGCGCACAGTAAGGTGAAGACTGGAAACTGACCCCTGAACTCTGCCATCTAGAAGTCACTGATGAATGTGACCAGAGCAGTCTTGGAGAGATGGCTATCTGCAAGTTTTCACATCCCAATGCTAACCAGAAAGAAAACAGATTTTTATCATATTTCATTGTGTTTATTTATTTATATTTAAAGATTCTATTTATTTATTCATGAAAGACACACACACACAGAGGCAGACACACAGGCAGAGGCTCCCCATATGGAGCCGGATGTGGGGCTCGATCTCGGGTCTCCAGGATTGCACCCTGGGCTGAAGGCGGCACAAAACCGCTGAGCCACCCGGGCTGCCCTTCCATTGTGTTTAAATATCGTCATGGTCCAGTTGAAGTTTGGCCAAAGGTAAGACATATTCTAGTGTAGCTGGACTACACTTAAAACTTGCTTAGACAACCGTCTGTGTTCGAAGACCTCCTGCGTAAAAGTCTACATTTTAAGAACTCTTTCCTGATTTCCTACAGGAACGTCACATTTTGAATCTGCATTTGGAGACCACCTGCTCCAGACAACCACAGGTAGCTTCCAAAGCATATTATTAAATCAAATAACCCATTTGAAGAGGTTAACATCTCTGAATACACCGCAGCACTTTCATTTGAGATAAAATGTTTAATAGGAAAATGCAGCTCTTGAAACTCCTGAGGTTTGAGAATATGCACAAAATCGTTCAACCTCATGGGTGGTGGGGACCCTGCTGGTCATCCTAAAATGCCTGCAGATCACTCTGTGGATCCAGATTTAAAGACAGAACACAGAGCTATTTGGGGGAGGTTGTTGTTTATTTCTTTTTTCTCAGAAGCTTGAGTCTCTAGCAATCCCACTCTTCTTCAGAAATCACAAGCAAGTAGTCAGAGGATGTGGTTTACTACATGACTTTAAAAACACCTGAAGCCATGTAGGACTTGTCTGTGAACATGGGAGGGAATGATTCTCAACCGTGTTGTTGATATGTCATGAAGAGGAATGACAAACGCAGATGAAAAACAGCTTCAAGCTCTAATAATCAGTAGAATACCACAAGGCGAAATTCAGTAAGAATGAGTAAAATCCATTTGCTTCTAAATGTACCTCGTTTAGCGTGGAAGAAGCAGGATCCTGTGGCACCATGAGTAAGAATGACTCAGCGTGAGCCACGTGTAGAGCATGGTTGCCAAAAAGTCAATGTAATATTAGGCTGAAAAACAGAAGGACATCATCTAGAATGAGAGAGGCTCTAGTCCTGTGTCACTCTGCATCATCAGGCACATGCAGAAACCAGATAAGCAAATTTATTCCAAAGCAAGCAGCTGATGAAGTGTCTGAAAGCTATGTCATATGGAAAACATCAGAAACAACTGGATATGTTCAGCATGACAGAAGTGATGGCTTGGATGGTACAAGACACTTCAAATATTGAAGTGTTCTCAAGAAGAGGAAATGTAAGATTTATATTAGTATTACTTCAAGAGTCACAATGCTTCCAGTGAATGAAAGCTATAAGTAATCATATTTTATTTCAGTATAAGAAACAACTTGGGGACAGTTTCTGGCAAGATGGAGCAAATGAGTTCCTCATTCCCAACAGTGTGTAAGCAGAAGTTTGGTCACTGCACTCAGTAGGCTGAATAGCTTAAAAAAAAAAATACAGTCATGGGGTGAAGCCTCTTCTAAATCTAAGAAAATGCAATTCTAACAGGTTAAGGTTCTCGAAGTCTGGATGTATGACTGAAGGTTAAACGTATGTAAATTGCCTCTAAAAAATGAAAAATATTCTCTGGAAGGCAAGGTTCTGAACGAAAGCTTGGAAGCACCACAGTTCTACCCAGCCAACACGAGAAGATATGATGAGACAGTTCTGGGAACTAAGCTTTGAGAAACACTCTTCAGAACTCCCTTTACTGAGACATCTGAATGTTTTTTAAAACATCGATGTAAAAATATTGGAGATCTCCATGTCATTCGTGTCTAAGCAGCCAACTCAGTCCTCCATCCATCCTGCTTGTTGACTGCAATGTGTACCACTGGGCTGGGAAGTACTGAGCCCAGATCATGAACTGAATGAGGTCTGCCTTTGTATTTTTTAGTACGTCTCCTTTCTCTTGCATGTATTTGTGTGATGATAGAAAGGCTCCATGTTCTCATTACAGCTTGAAAGCCTCTTTCGCAATGAAAACAAACTCCCCAGCAAACATAAGAGATAACACAGACTATTTTAGCTTTATGACTGAGGCCATACAAAAGATATAATTTTTCTTAAACTTGCACTAAGAATTTTCAGAAAGAGAAGATTTTACAGAACCCCCTCCCTATACAGATAACTTTTGAAGCCAAGTATTTTCACGAGAGTTGAACAGTTTCAAATAGTGTGGGGGAAGAAAGAAACTGAGGGGGGGGGGGCGGTGGGTGGTGGTGGAGCCGGTAACCAATTCAGGAACTTGGTTTAAAAACACCATAATTTCCCAAGTTGGAAAAAACAAACTAAAGAAAACCAGAACCCACGGGATTGGCATCCCTTGAAACTATTTACCAGGACAGTTAACCATCGCCACGGTCAGTCTTAACCTTGTGGGTCGCTGTGTTTGGAAGCCGGTCAAAACGAGTCAGCATCTGTTTGTTATTTTGTATATGTAGTAAAAATATTGCCTTGGGTCAATTAAATTTTTCTTCAAAAAAGTGAACATTGCCTCAGCATAATTTCCCCTTTTCTCCTTAAAAAAAAAATCACAAAACAACTTGCCCTTCTATTTAAAATATTACATAGAGCTAGTAGATGCCATACCTCATTGTCAAACAGGTCCATGATTTGTAATGAATATTGTGGTTAGAGGGGAGACCCATGAATAGTTTCTAATAACTCTTAGCCATTCGTACATGGAATAGGGTATAGGCTAAGACTGGTTTTAATTTTACTTCATATAAAGCAGAGAAGACTATTTGCCAGATGTTGTCCTACTTCAAGTTGCTCTAAAATCTTAGGGTAAATTACAGCGGAACTTCAAAGCAGTCTGTTGCAATTACCTCGTAGACGTTTTCAAGGCATGATAATAATAATAAAAAGAAACAGGTATGTATTGATCACTATCAACAACAGTCTTTGGAACGATGCTAGAAGTTAAGGATTTTGAAATACACTTCCAACTGTGATTTGCTAGAAAAATCAGATCAATTATTTTATGGTATCTATACAATTTCACTGTTGTTACTATCTACATTTTCTTTCTTTCCTTCTTTTTTTTTCCCCTAAGATTCCTAGGTGGAATATCAGTTTTCCCCAATGTAGCCCCAGAAAATATACCTGTGAATAAAATCAATGGTTTATAAAAGTGCTAGACATAAGCATGATTCGGGAGCAAGTGTGAACGGCATAGAAGGAAGAGCAAGGAAGTAAATATTTCCTAAGAGTCTACTACGCACAAGACATCGTGCCAGTAGTTGGCATTGGCTAGTGTCATATCTAATGGTCCTTTTCCCCAAAAGATTAGCTCTCTTTCAAATATTATTTACAGTCCATTTCTGACATACCACATAGGATAAAATTGCAATAGCACTTTGTAAACACGTCAAGATGAAAACTCATTTAGGTAGGAGCTCTCAGCTTTTTTTTTTTTTAATTTCTCTGCATGAGTGACACCCTGGTGTCTAATGAATGCACTCAAACTTAATTAATGCACACTGCTAGCCTCCTCTTTTTTTTTTTTTTTTTCATCAGTTGGCAACCAGAAGCAGAAGTCCTGACGGGTCGCTGTGTTTCATAACAGGAAAGGCAAGCTGGCTATTTTTGTTACTGCACTGCTCCGAGGCACAGCAATCCTGGGCGCCCAGCCTTGTCTCACCTCTCAGGCAGTTCGGGCCTTCGTAGGGCCTGTAGCAATCACATTGGTAATTAAGCCACAAGTTGATGCAGCGTCCTCTGTTTTGACAAGGTTGTCTTTCACACCAATCTTTTCTCTCACAGCCGGCCTTGACATTTAAAGACGAGCTGGATGAAATGTCCTCCCGAGTGATGTGATTCGAATCAATCTTAACGTCTTGGAGACAGCCTACAAACGAAGGTGTGGATGGTAGATTATAGATGTTAAGCAGAGCAATACCATGGGAGGTCGTTCCTCCTGGTAAGCCACCCAAAAAGGAGTTTTGAAAAGCACATATTGACCGATGACTTTCAAATGGAGAAGGAGCTCGGGTGATGCATTTCTCCTTACAAGTGTTGTCAAGTAAAGTAAGGGTCACAGCCTCTGCAAATGTCACCTCCACCGAATGCCATGCTCCGTCACTGGTGTCGTGGGAAATATACAGGAGCACCTTTGACTGATTATTGACTTGAATTGATAAGTGAACGTAGCCACCTCGCAACTCCAGCATTATAAACATGGCCCGGTTGCCTCGGAAAAGTAGAAGTGCCATTGGCTGAACAGTCAGAAAGCTGAGGGCCATGTTACAAACCAAGCCCTTGCCCGTGGCTGGGCCACTTGTGATCCACAGGAAGCCATTGCCCTCAAAAGAAAGCGTGGTGACAAGTTCACACAATGGCCCAGTATAGCCGGAGGGACATAGGCAGCTGAATCCATGCTGGCCATTTTGGAAGTGAGGGATGCACATTCCATTATTCAGACACTGGTGGCGGGTACAGCCCAGAAGAACATCAGAACAGTTCTTTCCTCCATAAAATGTTCCCGAGTGGTTATCAAATGGGCAACGGCAGGTATAATGGCCAGACAAGTTCTCACAAGTACCACCATTTTGGCAAGGGTTTGAAGAGCATTCATCAATGTCTTCTTCACAGTGGATTCCTGGTAAATAATAAAGAACAGGTTGAAATTGCATATATTCAGATCAGAAATAGAAGTTTCACATAATTTCCATGTATCATCTGTGGAGGTGGAGAGCTAGCTTAGGTTTAGGACTGTAACGGAATAAAATGTGAATAGTTCTTGAGGAAGTTAAAGTCGATGGATGCTATCATTCTGTGGGTGTTGTGCAGACAAGTGCAGTCATGCAAAACCTTGAATTCTTCCTCTAGAAATAGATTATTTGCCAAATAGTGGTTGTTAGACATGTATGTGGAACTCAATATCAGAAAAATGATAAAAGAAAACAAAAGGTTGTTTTCGGTGGTGATGCTTGATACAAATTATTTATTTGGGGACTATCCTCTGATATTGTTGATCATCTCCTAGGCTGCTGGTTTTACTCTATTCTACTTGAAATTGATGATTTTGCCTTTTACCTTGTTTTTTTTATCTCCCCACAGTCCCTAAAACCAAAGTCTGCCAGATATCTAGATAGTCTAGACAACCCTCACCATGGGTAGCTTCCAAGATGAATGCAAGGCCCTGTTTCCTCCTTTCCATAATTCTAGTATAAACCATGAAATATATCCCATAACATGCTCTGTCTTACAGTTTTAGCTTCACTTTATTTTACTCTTTTTCCTGATTCTAAGTATCTAATCAGAGAACTCTTAGAATTCATGTAATCAAAGTAACAAGAAGAAATGCAACACCTTTCAAGAGTGATAGTTGTTTCTTTTCCAGTGAAGTTCAAATGAACAAATAGGTGAACAACTGACACATGTGTAGCACTATATGGTTTCCCCAACACCTTCATCCACATAACGTATCAATGCCTACCACAGTCTTTTGAGGTTTTTACTGCAGGTTTACTTAGCTCTCTTTCACATAAGATACTGAGGCCTAGAAAGACTGAAGTCTAAACTCCAAAGCACTCCCACAATCTGGTTTCTAGGTTTTTAAAATCCAATCTGACACTATCCGTTCTGTAACTGATAATTTAGTGCATTTTCATTTATTGTTATTACTAAGATGTGTTCTTATTTTCCCATTTAATTCCATGCCCAAACATATGCATTAAAAGTACATAAAATGTAAAAAAATATTAAGTATTAAACTTAAATTATAAAAATTTAATCAAAGGCTCCTATATTGATAGAGTTGGATCTGAATTCCAGCTCGGCTGTGAGCAGGTTACATTCACTTTTTGTGTTTCCGTTTTTTCATCTATAAAATGGTGTTAATAACCTTACATCATAGGGCTTTTAAAAGTTAGAATCAATCTCACATCTTATATGATGAGCGTATAACATGATCATAAGATGATCATAACATTGCTTGATACACAATAAAATCTCAATAAATGTTGGTTGTTATTAAAAAGTAATAACCAAAGGAAATACCCTCTAATGACAAAATTCAAATAGTACCATAGTCACTGAGAGAGACTATTTGGAAGGAGACCATATGGAGTGACCCACAAATTGCATAACTTTACATAATGAGCATAGGAGGCTAGAATCTCATTATATTGTACTCTTCTTGAGGGAAGAGAAAATACCTGTTTTATTCACGAAAATATGTCTAAACTATAGCATAGTACCTTGCTCACATTTGACACTTGGTAATTAATCTTTGAATTAATTAAATGATGACCTTTGTAAGGTGATTAAAATATTTATAATGCATTTAATCTGCTCCAACCAAAACCTGAAGTGCTTTTTTATGCATATTTTCAGATAAATGTTAATCTTTGTCCACTGCCATTATGTATGCCATTAGACTCTTGATGAGATCTGTTGTACTTATATTTTTACACTGGTTGGATTGCTTTCACATAATCTTTGTTAATCCAAAAATATTCAAGCTCTGTGAAAAGAGGGAACATTTACTATCTCAGTTAGAACCTCCAACAGCGGGGATCCCTGGGTGGCGCAGCAGTTTAGCACCTGCCTTTGGCCCAGGGCGCGATCCTGGAGACCCGGCATCGAATCCCACGTCGGGCTCCCGGTGCATGGAGCCTGCTTCTCCCTCTGCCTATGTCTCTGCCTCTTTCTCTCTCTGTGTGTGACTATCATAAATAAATAAAAATTAAAAAAAAAAAAGAACCTCCCACAGCACCTGTATAGTGCTGAGCATATATGGCTTATGAAAAGCTTGATGAGCAGAAAAAAACAAAAGTAAATTGAGCTGATTTATTTGTTATGCAATCATCCTTATTAGTAAAGAAAATTGACACAGGAATTATGGGCTATATTTTAAAGGAGTATTCTAATGCAAATTCAATTTTACCGAATTTGTGAAAAATCTAAACTTTTGTATTAGAAGACTTTTTAAAGATTTATTTATTTGAGAGAGACCGTGTGTGTATGTATGTGTGTGTGTGTGTGTGTGTGTGAGAGAGAGAGAGAGAGAGAGAGAGAGAGAGAGAGAGAGAGCAAGTGGGGTGAGGAGCAGAGGCAGAGGGAGAGGAAGAGAGAATCCTGGAGTAGACTTCCCTCTGAGCCTTGAGCCCAGTATGGTGGGGCTTCATCCCAAGACCCTGAGAACATGACCTGAGTTGAAATCAAGAGTCAGCTGCTTAACCAGCCAAGCCACCCAGGTACCCTTGTATTGGAAGATATTTTACTTAAATTTGATTTTCACAGAATTTTGAGAACAAAAAAAAAAAAACTAATCAGTAATCATTAAGTAGAAGGAATATTGAACAACTCATGGGTTATAATCAAAGTAAATTTTTTTCTCACTGTGTTTTTACATATATTTAACTGAAAGAAGACTTTTCATCCCCTGCTTTGTTCCTCCAGAGACCCCATGAGGCAGGCATTGCTTCCCCTTTAACCAGTGAGTTGCTCCCATACTGCTCCACCCCTTCAGTCTCAGTTTACTGAGGTTCATGCCTTCACCAACTCTCTCTCTTGGGGCTCTCTCACCTTCTGACAGAGGCCATTGGGCAGGGTCTACCCACTGACTGATATTCCTACCATGAGTTCCCCATGCAGGCCTGGGGATTCATGCACCTTTGACCTGTGGTTGGAGTGGGGAACATTTACTTTCCAGCTCAACACAGCAGCACTCCTCTCTTTCTCTTTCCTGCGTTAGGAGTTTCATCTGTAGATTCCTCAGGTAGCTGGAGAATCCAGTCTAAATTGCCTATGTCACTCCCCTGCTCCGCAAATTTAGCTAAGACTAGATTCTCCTTAAAGCAAGTCGCTCTGCTTGGGTTTAAGATATAGCTTTCAATCCTAAAACTGAGTGGTGGGGTACAATTCACATCACAGCAGCAAAACTCTCCAAAAGAATCTCTTTACAGACTCATTGCTTCAAATTGCCTCTTAAGAACATTCACATATACTTAAAATGCATAAACATTTCAGAGCCTGAAGCCCAGTATTTATTTTGACATTCTGCATTATAGTACACTTTGGTACCTCACAGTGACCATATCTTGACTTCTTAGTTGAAACTTCAATGTATCGTTTTTTCCAAATTTACAAAATATCTTTCTATGCCTTACCTTCACAGAGGATTGCAAAGTAGAAGAGGCAGGCCTGGCCTCAAGAAGCTTACCATGATAATATTACATTATAATTATAATTACATTATAATAATGTAGTACATATGTATGAAAATATAGTGTAAATAGCAGGTTCTCAATGAATGTATGGTTGATATGTGAGTCTCAAACTCAGGGGACTTTAGAAAAGATTTACAAAGTTTTAGGGGAAAGGCAACACATGAGAGATAGTCATAAATCTCTAGTTATGAAAACCCAATATTGTATATTAAATCAATAAACATATCGATTACATAACTACCATATATAAAGTACTGTGGATAACATGGAGTAGTAACTGGTCCCTGTCCTCAGTGAGTTTAATCGAGGAAAACTTGTAAAAAAATTAAATGATAGTGTAAGTCAAGACAACATTGAAGAGATAAAACTAAACAGTATATGATGAGTTCCAAGTGAATTGTATAAGTAATAACTCAATAACAATGAGTTTCCAGAGAGAAGAGGAAGGTTTGAAGGAGATAGGATTTAATACAGGTTTTCAAGTATGGATCAGATTGACAAAAAGGTGTGTGGGAATAACTTAAAACAAAACTCATCAATCAAAAAGCATAAGACATTTAGAAGTGACGGCAAATTGTCAATCATGTTGGCGTGGAGGATTTCTGTAGGAAAATCAAATTAGAAAGATTAAATATCGCCAGGTTGGAGAAGCTCTGGGAATATACAGTTTTTATTGTTTTGCTTTATTTATTTATGCAATTGCTTATTTTTTTGAGATTTTATTTGTTTAGTCATGAGAGACACACAGAGAGAGGCAGAGACACAGGCAGAGGGAGAAGCAGACTCCCTGTGGGGAGCCCGATGCGGACTTTGATCCCAGGACTCCAGGATCATGACCTGAGCTGAAGGCAGATGCTCAAATGCTGAGCCTTCCAGGCATCCCTGTTTATTTTCTGATAGCAGTGAAGCAAAATGGGTAATTGCTGAATGGAAGACCAGCATGGTTTCTCATAAAGATCAGTGACACAAGGACTTATCACAGTAAAATGAAAAGAAGCCAGACACAAGAAGACACATAGATAGCTACTAAAATTGTCCACATCTAAGATTATTAGGGGCTGCTACAAGGCAGTTAAGTTCTTATAATTCGCAGTATCACTCTTTCATTTATCCTTGGTCAGGAAGTAGGTGCAAATGGTAATCCTTTCTTTTCTATTGCTTATTGTATTTTTTCTTACAATTCTTAAAGTTTACACATTTGATCTTTCACAAAATAACTACCAATAACTTGATTATGTTTTTCCTTTAAATATAAGCAGAAAAGCTAGTTTTAGATTTTACCATCTTGGAAAAAAATGAAACAAAAAAGAGACAGAGTGAGAGAGAGAGAGAGGAGAGAAAGCCTGTATTAAGGTCAATATTCTAAAGAAAATAAACAGAATTAGATATTAAAAGGTGAATAATGATCAGTAATTTGTACTTT